CATGCGCTCGCATGAACGCATGTATACATATACATATATATATATATTATATAAATGAATCTATACCAAAAATGCCAGACACAAGCTGCAGCTAGGCTGCCACTGCACCGTCTCGAGCCCAAGCTGTGGACTTTCATGTAAGGATCCTAACTTACATGCAATCTGAACAATATTGACTAAGCTTTTGGTTGATCCATGTGTTCTATTGATCAATCATGCATGAATCATCGTTATTCTGAGAAACATATATGTGTGTAATGTTGATCGTGACGTTCTGATCTTTAGTATGCAAACCACTCAATACGTATGCCTTGTGACCACATACATATTCATAAAGAAGTGTTACACCGATACGGCTTAGTTAGTTCACCGTGGTTTTCTTGTACCTTTTGACCGAACAGGGCAGTCGGCAGAACCCGTCCGCCACACACCGGGTCACTGGGTGTACCATCGGACGAGTCGCTGCCCCTAAACAAGAAAAATCAGGATCTAATGGCGATCTATAGTAACAAGAAGCTATTAGTAACAAGTGCCACGCTAGTAGGAACAAGTGCCTTACTAGTAGTAACAAGAAGCTAGTAAAGGACATATTAAATAGGTCTTTTAACCTGGTAGCGATGGCCTCCAACATACTAATATGTCGGCTCCAGAAGCGGTCGTGTGCTCATCATCAAAGCCACAACAAAGGGGGACATGAGAATGGGTAGATGGAACAAACACTTCTTTGCTCAAATATGGTGCATGAGATGTGCACCACAGTGACCACTACAACAGTGATGCCTACGGGCGGTTTGGCACAGTTCCGTTTTGGGTTCAGCTTTCGGCTTTGAAATGGGCGACGGGTGATTTCTCCGACAGCTTTCGGCTTGATGGGCAACCGCACCCCAAAGGTGGGCCCCAGAAATGGGGTAGACGTACGGTACCGGTACCTCGGGTACCGAAGTGGTATTGTTGGAAAGGCGGTTGGTAGTGCAGGTGTTTCAAACGGCGGTTGGTAGTGCAGGAAAACCAGGTGGTATCATGTGTCTACATTATTCTACATTAAGTTTCGTAGATAACCCATGACGTGAACAAAAGCTGAAAGCCCGTGGTTTTCAGCATGCCTCAACCGGTTTAGCACGCGACCGGGCACGCTGGGTTGCACCGATTGTGCTGTTGGCACCATGGAACTCCTGATCGTCCTCGTGCTGTCCTCCTGTGCGGTGGACATCGTGGACGCCTGGCTGACCGGAGAGGCCGGAGACATCGTGGACGGCATGAAAAGAGAAAAATTCATGAACGAAGCCAAGGCGCGTGTTTGTTTCTTTTTTGTCGAAAGGATTGGTGCTGCTTTTCTGGAGTTGATGTGTCAAAGAAAAGCGCAGGGTTGCAGTATACTTTCTTGCTTCTAGGTTGGAGGACTCTAGTAAGCTAGGTTGGAGGTCATCGGTGCTAGGTTAGTGGCCATTGCCATAAAAAGTATATATCCCTGAATATATCGAAATTCAACATTTATATTGGTCGCAGTATACTTTCTTGCATAGATCAGTTTGGGCATTCCCTTCCGATGGGAAATCCAACTGGATCTCCGGACGCGAGGCTATTGTGAGAGCTCTTGATGGTGGCGTTTGCCCCAGGAGTCTTCGCGAAAAAGTTTCCAAGGACGTACGCTACTTGCTCCCCCAGAGATATGACTATGGCATCGGTTGTGCATTTGTGGAGAAGAACTTGGCAGGATTGGAGGGGAAGGCAGGTCTGGTTGGCTGAAACATGCCTTTTGCAGAGCTAACTGATTAGAACCCAACACATCACTAATTAGCTTCCAAGCACAGTGTTCATGCTCAAGAAACAAGAACTAAAAGGTCCACTGGTCTAGTTGTCTTATGATTTCTTCCAACTTCTCTGACGGACCGTCTCAGGGCTGTCGCTGTCCCGGCTCTTTCGAAGTTTGTGCCACCGAACTGCGGTTCCGATCGATCCATGATCTGCATGACGAGCTGTTGGCGCAGATGTATCCAGCACTTGGGTATTGTCGCACAGGCGCACTACCCGTTGGTTGGGAGTTGGGTTTGTTGAGAGAGGGCTTGAAATGGCTAGACTGAAAAAGAGGACCAGTCAGCCATCCACTCAGGCAATCACGGAATGGACATGGCCTGTGTGCATTCAACAGCAACTCCGATCTAATACCGCATCATCTGGTGGAACCCTGATTTACAGTTTCTGTCTCCCAGCTAACCCCAAGGTTTTTCAGTCATCGACTGAGCAGAGACAGAACTTCTATCTATTTTCCTTGTGAAGAATATCATCTTCAATACTTGTATGTAAAACTCGAGCTTGGAGGCCCATGCTTCCTTCCAGGTGATGGCTTTCCATGTTTTGCACATGAATCTTGTGCCCCTGCGTGCCATTGCTACAGGTGCCT